GGGGGGGGCGGCGACGACCCGGGAGGAGTGAAGCTGCTACAGAAGAGGGAGGGGGTGACGGGAGGGCGACAAGTGATGCGGAAGAGAGTTTTCTTCAGTTTTAGCTTTAGACCCAGACTTTTGCAGCACTGGTACCTGGATTCGCCTATGAGAGGTTCCGATTTTGGTTATAAAGCAGCCAATATGCTCTGCTTGCCTCTGTAAATTAATAAACATGAAACTGCGAGAATTCTGAAAGAAATTTTTAATGTAATTCATGTATTTTTTATAGTACATAGTTAAAATTTTTTTGATATGGTTGCTTTTCAGACACAAAAAATGATTCGGAGGAGAGCCTCAGCGATGATGAATTTGACGCACTCACTACTCACCGTAAGTAAATAAGCTTTATTGGTCTTTTTGCCTTTTTTCAAAATTTTTATGTTTTTTTACGTTTTTTCATCTTTTTTTTCAACTTAGCTTATTCGTTTTTCGAAATTTTTACATTTTTATTAGTTGTTCTTCCCACGTCTTTTTTTTGTTTTGTGTTCTTTCCCTTTCTTTTTTTGTCCATCAAGCTGCATTTCGCCCTCCAGCATTGCTCATAAGCGGTAAAGGCCGATTCTTGCCGCATAAAATGTCGGAACAAATTTTTTTTTTTTTGATATATTGAAGGTTCGTTTATAATTGATGCGCTGCATGGCGAAGAGGATGATTCGCCGATGGAAACGCAAAACATGATCGATGAATGGGCCGAACGTGAAGCACGTGATTTAGGCCTTTTGAGCAAGTAGTCATGACATTTCGAGGATGTTTCTGTTTTTTTTTCCTGTAAGCTTATTATTTCCTAGTCCATATTTTTTAAAGAGCGCCGTATAATTACTCTATTTGACTATGATAACGAAAAGAAGAGGAAAATGAGAAATAAGTTAAGGGCGTCACGTTTTTGCTATGCATTTTGAGCGATGCATTTTTCCGTGTAGATAGTGCTTCTTGACTACATATCCCTCATCAGTTCCCTCTCGAAACTTACAAGCAAGCAATAATATTTAAAGATGATCGAAGAGCTACTGGGTATAATTGAAGTCTAGGGAAAATCAACAAGAATTTAATAAGGAAAAAGGGCGATGAGACGAAAAGAATTAATTTATAAAGAAAAACTGTTAAATAATTTACGGGGAAAAGTTTAATATGTAAGAGGATAGGAGAAAAATATAACCGAAGAGGGATGTTTCGGCCCATTAAGTCGCACAAATTCTTTCTCAAACCCACGATTGCACCTCATCGATATAACAGTTGTGGTGTTATTAATGAAAGTTAAGGGAAGACGAAAGGGGAGGGATAGAAGGCACCAGGCAAAAGAGCAGAAGAAAGATGTATAACTTGTAATAAGAGTCTTTTCGTCTTTATGTATTGACTGTCCTAGGCCATTTTGAAATAGCTTGCTATCTGGGAGTTTTTATTAGTTTTTTTTTTTTTTTTCACTAGTTATCTGTTATTTTCTGTCTTATTTGGCCAGTCACATTATTTGGCATTGTTTTAGGTTAACGATACGATCTGCATTGTTTTAATTGAAATGCTTTATGCTTTTTGTTCAGTGTTGTCGGTGCTGTATTCTGCTTGATCTTTACACGATAATTCGTAATTCTGTTCAAAATTTTTTAGCTTCAAACTTCTGCTATGTTAATTTGAAATCTTGTAATAAATTATCGCTTATGAAAGTATTTCTTATTTTGTTAAAATAGCCTTGTGAATTATTCGCATTGCTAAAAAATCACCTGTTATTCTTCACTCGCTCGCTTTCTCTTTCTTCAAATAGTTTTTCAGACTCGTCGCTTCATCTCCTTTTCGTCGATTACTTTGACTCGCCATGTACAATATCCGCCTTTCACAGGAGCTTGGATAGTATTTATTCTTTTTTCAATATACGGTAGTTAAATTTGTTGTTCATTGATTTATTATTTTTCAGCTTCATTTCTTTTATGAATCTTTTTTATTAGGCAAAAATAAATTGCTTCTGTGATT